TTTTGATAACTTATAGATAACGTATACCAACTAATGCTTAACGTGTTGCCAGCATCCCCAACTTATGCCTAATGACAGTCTAACCTATGCATAGCGCACGGCAGCTTATCGCCGTCGAACACGTCTCGTCGCCTATTAAAAGGCTGCCGCTTGACGATTTAAATCATGATATGATATATCATTTCAATCTCTCTGTATATGGTGCTAAATGCAACAGATCGATTGATAGGTCAGAGCAGCGTGATCTGTCTGCGGACCACAGGCTGTAAAGTTGTGAGCGCGATCGTGTTTCCTGTCTACAGTAAAACCACTCACCACTGCACTTCTAGAGCTCAGAGCTCTGCACTTCTAGTTTAGATACAAGAGTAAACTGAGTTATTATTATTTGTGAAATGTGGTGCAATACTTCAGATACATGGTTTTTAAAGCATAAAAGATTGGAGATAAAGTCTACAGGAAGTAGAATCACTATCGCTTAACTGCAGCTTCACACTCGCGCTGGACGTAAACAAACACACGTGCGCCTCTCGCCTTTTTTCTTTCAAAGAACGACTCAAATGGATTAATAGCGCGGTTTTGTCGACTGGATGTCGTTATTTGCGGCGGACAAATTCTATGGATAATACAGGGTGAGTAACAAAGTCTTCTTATCGAGCTGCAACAATGAATTGATCGGTTAGGCTGTATGCTGTTCTCCGCAGATCGCCTACATGACTTTTTTTTTATGCAAATGACACGTTTCCTACGGCTCTCAGTGAGGACATTTTCCCATTGTCTTATATCCTCTGTGGCCGAAGTATTCTCTGATCAAGTGTTTTGCATCGGCTATGATACATGGGAGCGCAAAGTCTGACGGTTTCCTCCCCATTTTTATACCGATTCTCCTAAACGCTGCCAATACGCCATTATACAGTAGCTACAAGTTAGAAACATGTTCAGTAAGTTCTGCGGTCATCTGGAACATGTCAATACATCTGCATACGTCAATATGCGTTGGAGACAAGTTCGATTTAAGTTACACATAGGTTCAAAACACGTTACTCATAAGTTATGTGTACGCTAGACATTTTCTCAACGTATTTGGACATATGAGAAACTTACAATTAACGTGTGTCAACGACAGCATAATTTACCTACAACTTATGGCCCGCGTATGCAGGATACGCTGACATACGTCGAGAAATTTTCAGCATGCTCAACCTTGCCTTATGTCGCCGTATGGCCTGCGTGCTTCAGCGTGCTCATAACTTATACAATACTTACCTAGAACTTATCCGACGTACGCCAGCGTATTTGCCAAATTTTTCATACGTCGGCATACGTTTTGTAAATCGTCAAGGTGTGACAGCGGTTGTAGCTCTTTTTAGGCGTTGTATCTGTCCTTGTCGGCGCGTTCCTCTGCCTGGTCCTGCCGGTCCAGCTTCGCCCGTTCCCGCTGCACCACCTGTCCGCGTTCGCGTTCTCCTGCACCTGTCTTGCTCTGTCTCTTCTGGTTCCGGTGTCACGCGTGCACACCTCAGGTCCGCTCCCCACCCATGCCCTCTGTCTGTCTTTTCAAATCCCTGCTGCAACGACCTCAGCCAATAATATTGGGTGGGAGGGAATGTTCAGTTAGTTCAATCCACCCAATCCTTCACTCCAGTATAAAAAAACAAAACAACACTAAAATCACCGCAAATAAAATCACTGCAAATAAAATATACACAGATTAAAAAAACAAGGGCTCTTCTCACATTTGGCATATTTTTAGGTGGCCCATTTGGTTCATTACACTATGATGAGGATTGTCCAGCAGCAGGAGATGTTCCATTCTTCATTTCTTCTTCATTTAAAGTCAGGTATAATTTCTCAGTGTCTCTAAACTGTGCATTTTACTTGAGAAAACAGAACAGATAACAAAACAGAAGTAGTCAAGGACACTTTCAGAACATGATTGCTGCGTAAGAATGCTCTGCTGACCCCTGGTGGCTGCGAGTTGAACCTACATGACAACGCTCCAGTCTACAACAGAGCTCTCCAACCTTTTTCCTCTGGTGAGCTCCCTTTACAAAACCAATATTCCAGAATGTTACTCATTTTAACGGTTGCAGGAAATAAAGTTTACATAAGAGCCATGGCAAGACTTCGACAGGGTACAGTTCGATACAACATAAAACATAAACCATTACTTATTTATGAGTGCACCAAATCAGGCATCAAAATGATAGATTTACAATAATAATGTGCATTTAATTCATCAAATATGAGTTATTCAGGACAATACATGTCGTTCAGGAATCTCTTGGTGAGCTACAACTCCAGGACGAGACCACTGCTTTACAAAATATCTACAGTACGTGCTTCAGTAATGACAATGTAACAGAATCTGATATATTAGATGTTTGAGAACAATAAAACACTAAAGATTTCACCAGCCCTGTTTTGCAAAATTGCCAATCCAGTAATGAACCAGAATTACAGTCGGACTAGACTAGTACCAACTGGGTCTGAACCAGGACTAACCTAGAATTAAACTAGAACTAAACCAGGTCTAAAGATAAACTGGACAATGATTAAACTAACACTAACACAGAACAAAAGCAGATCTAAAGCAGGATTTACAAAAGCAGTAGAACAAGAGGAAATAGTTGAATATTTGGAAGTTGGGCTTTAAGGTGAGTTGGCCTGATCTATGACTTGAACGATGAAACACTTTTATATATCATTATAGATATAAATACAAACCAAAGTAAACTGGGGCCAAAACTTTTTCTAACTTTTAAGTAAGTTAGCCAATCACTAAAAATGTCAATAGGGGTAAGTAATCTTGGGACTTGAATATCTGAGAGTAGTACTCAGTTACATCTACTCCATTTACTTGAGTCACGTTTTAAAGGGATAGTTCGGATTTTTTGACATGAATCTGTATGGCATCCCCGTGAGCAGTGTCGTGCATCAACACTGACTTACCCCCGAAAACGTCCAGTGAGCCGAGATAGTGGCCGTTTTTGGTGCTGACGAAAGTAGTCCAGGAAGTTGGCTGGGGACATTAAAATAAAGTGTTTTTCGTCTCAAAACAATGTGTTCAAAAGAGTGATATGTTTGCATGACAAAACCTTATAATCGCTTGGCATTATTTTCTCTCCGTTCATATCACTGCGTGCTGCCGCCAGAGTAATAAATCAAAGTTTAGAGGGGAAAAAACAAACCTTATCATTGCCGTTTTAATCGTTTCCTTTCTTTTATCATGTATTATTTTATTTTTTGTACATTCACTTTACACATTTCTGCATAAATAACAAGCCACCGCAGTATGATATGTGGCTAGCTTGTGAATTAAACAATGGAAAAAAAAATCAATAAACACAAGTAAGTACTAAATAAAGGACAACGCATACATTTACTCTTTCTTTTTTTTAATTATTATTAATGCTTATAAAGGGGAATGGGTGGAGGTGCTGACCTAATAGATCCATGGTGCTGGATCCTGGGCCCCCTCCACTGCTGCTCCACTACGGCCGCTTTTGGGCGGCTGGATCACTGTGACCTTTCACAGTGAAACTTCGGGAAAATGCAGCTCCTCTCGTGCTGTGAAGGGTTCAGAAGACGGCTCCAGGTTCTTTAAATTTTTCTTTCAACTTCTCATAGACTTTCCTGGTGTTGGCCAGCTCTTGTTTGAGCTGGACATGGTCTCACAATGTATACGAATACCTTATCTCCTTGTGCATAGTAAATTGGGTTTCCAGCTTTTTCTCTTTTTTCAAGAGGTTAGCTTTGAGCTTTTTCAACTCCAAGATTTTTTTTCATTCATCTTTTCCGTGAATCTTTTGGAGTTGGCAAACTCTTGTTTTAACTGCACATTTTCCTGTATTTTAGAATTAAACGTCTACCATATCTCCGTATGTGTGTCTTATGTGTGTTCTCTAGGTCCTATAGTTGCTTTTCCTTCTTCTGAAGAATAGCAGTTAATATTTGCACCAATTTTTACACGCTCAATTAAAAAAAAAAAAAATTAAACATATAACCTAATACAATATAATGACTTTATAATTTTATTTTATTTTTTAAATCTAGGTCGCGTTAGGCGTTGCGGCGCACTTGCGCCCTCTATAGACCAGCCACCACTTTCTATAGTCCTGTGTGTTTGTACAAACACTAAAACGCAATTTAAACGCATTTGTTGTTTTTTTTATTGTCTAAACTTAACTTTTGTTTCACTTCTGATTCACTTATTCAATCACTTACCACATGAAAAGTTCTGTCAGGAGTGGGATTTGAACCCACGCCTCCATTCGGAGACCAGAAGTCCCTGCTCCACAGGAAGGAGTGATCCTTGAGTCTGGCGCCTTAGACCGCTCGGCCATCCTGACGTGCCTAACTTTGTATTCTGACATGAGCATAATGGAACAATAGGCTGTATCTGTAAGTATAATAAATTATTTATGGTTATAACTTCATGACACCTGGTTGATCAAAGGTTATTCGTATTTCTTTATTTGTTTTAAGTAATGTCTTTGCTGAGTGACTCATCAACGATGTCAGACGTCAGAGTTAAGTCGACAGCGCTCTCTTGTGGTATATACTAATAACCACACCATAGTCGACAAATAACTTCAGTTTATGTTATTGTAAAGACAAGAAATAAAGAAAACAAAGAAAAATAAATGTAAAAAGAAAAAAAATGACACACTACACATATTCAGTAATAATATGATACTGATTAGCCTACTACTGCTATCAAAATAACACCATATGATTTTTTTTTTTTTTTTTTTTTCCCACACAGATATTGGAATAGCAATGTTGGACAACCGTGAAAGGGACAGGTGATCACCGTAACTGTGTTGTGTAGGCCTACTAGTTCTGCATTTCTCTCTCGCGCTGACTTCCACGAGGAACTACAAGTGAGTGAGGTCATTGTTTGTTGTCGGAGTGAGGTTGTGCGCATGCGTACCTGAGTTCTTTGTAGTCGCAGGTGTGCGCTTACAGGTGGCGGTTACTACTCCGTAAATAACAACCGTAATAGCGACTTTTTTTTTTTTTTTTTAATTCAACCCGGCGTCCAAACCATTTTATCGGTTGTACGCACTGCCCATTAGTTTCGTATTAATTCGAAATATCTGAAATTGTCGCGGTTCAGAAGTCCAGGGAGTGGCGACCAGCATATGGCAGCATCCCGCTCGTAAGGACGCATTTTCGGTTAGATTAGTGAGACGTTTTGGGTACTTTTTGTGCGTAATCGCAGAGTATTGAAACGATGAACGCAAAAATCGAGCAATTCTTCAAAACGGTAAGTAGGAATCATTTGAGTTTGATATAGCTTGTGTCTTTTTTTCCATTTGGCTATAACGTGTTTCATGTGCGCGCAGGTGGAGGATGTCAAAGGTCTCATTGACACCATTACTGCCCAAACAGAAGAAGTGGAAAGAAGACAAAAAGTTATACTTAACAGTCAAAATAGAGACAAAGGTGAGTGACAGTTCTCTTACTTTAAACTGGGAGGACACGTAGGTCGTTTTGTTTATTTTGTATACAAATAAAGTGGGGGAAGGGACTGTGCAAGTAGTAGGGCCATTGTGGTCATTAGGTGTGTAGACATAATGTATTTGGCCTTCTTAATACTTTACTCATATGCTCATTGAAATGTATTGTACTCCCTTTCTAGAAATGACTCATGAGCTGGAGACGCTGAACAAAGAAATTAAGATGCATTCAAATCAGCTCCAAGAAAAGTTAAAATGTAAGTTCAGACTCTCATGATTGTGTTGTGTTTAATTAAAACTTTTTGCTGTTTTTTGCTTTGCCACAGCTACAACATATTGTAGAACAGGAACAGCACCGCATTCATTCACTTCATTTTGTCACTGAATACAATACATTTGAAAGGCAAATTAGTTTTCATGCCAGTGTCCCAGTGTCTTGAACTTGTTATTATAGTGAAATTATTTACAATGTAGAGTTTTTGTCATATATTTTGTAATCTGTGTTGTTAATTAGACATTCTGAAAAATTGATCTTGGTTTGATTTCACAGCCATGCAGAATGACACACCCACAGATGAGAAAAAACAAAGTGTTTCAGTGTTCCAGCGGATTTGCAAGAACCAGGTATTGCATGTTTCGTCTTTGTATTTTTTACCTAATATTTGAACTGTATTGTTGTTAGTTTCTGATTCTGAAATGTTATCATGACACCCTCAGATGGGGGAATGTTGCAAACATTCCTGAAGTTTAGTTTAGTTTAAAATAAGTTAAATGCTAAGTTAAAAGTAATGTTTAGTTTTATTTATTGTTCACCTTATTTTAAACATTCCTGAAGTTTAGTTTAGTTTAAAATAAGTTAAATGCTAAGTTAAAAGTAATGTTTAGTTTTATTTATTGTTCACCTTATTTTATTTCTGTTTTATTTATTTACAAAAGAGTAATTTATCATGACATTTTCTGTAGCAATATAGAGTCCATCCATAGTGAGTTTGAAATGGTTGAATTATTTGAAATGCTTGAATTACTTTTGCTTTTGCAGCACTCCCACCTGACACGCTGCTTTGTGGAGGTCATGAGGAGATATTACAGGGCACAGACAGACTTTAGGGAGAAATGCAAAGCACACATCCAGAGACAGCTAGAGATTGGTGAGTGGCCAAACAGAGTGAAATCACCTTCATACTGCCCACTGTCCTTCACACAGATTGTACTTGAACACAAATTAAATGTATTTCTGAAATCCTGTGCCAAAATGTCAGTGACTTTGGCTATATCTATAATGACTCTGCTCAGTCATTTCAAGGTGCTTAAAGGTCCCATAATATGCAAAATAGATTCTTGTGAGCATTAAGCCATGTTAGAATATTGGTACCTCATCAAAACCTAACCAGAGTTGTGTTTTGTTTCATTCACATATGTTTGAGGAATTCTTTATTATTATTAAAACATGTGTGAATGAAACAAAACACAACTCCAGGTTATGTTTGTGATGTGGAAACAACATTATAATATAGATATGAAATAATGTAATATGGGCCCTTTAAAGACATGCATCTGACAGATTTTTATGTTTTTTTTTTATTATTACTTGATTTGGTGTGGCTGTATAAATAGTAAATATTTATAATAGGTTTGCATCAGAAAAGTGGTACTTTTGAAGAAAAGTTGAGAAAAAGAAAATTACGAAAATTAAGTATCAATGAGAATCCCTTTATCTACGTGCCACGAATACACAAAATTACATTTGAGTTGCAGGGACAATTGATGTGTGTGAACACATTTCTCTTGCAGTTAAACACCAGTTTAAGAAAATAAAGATGCTATTGTACAAATTAGTTGAGTTTTGACATTTGTTAACATCATTAATATTATGGCCGACAGTTGTGGAATTACCGCTACATATGTCACATCTCCTGCCCATGTCCAACCAGGAAGCAGAGTTATAAACTTCACTAAAATTTTCAAACTAGGGAAAACTAATTTTGTTAAATCTTAAGCATACATTTTAGAAATTAGTAGTATAATCTGTCATAATAGTGAATACAGAAGAGAACATAAATGCATGTATAATTTGCTGCAGTCTTTGTTTTGTTTTTTAAATTGTTATTTTATTTAATTTATTTTAAGTGGATAAAGTCACTACAGATGAAGAGCTGGAAGAGATGCTGAATTGTGATAGTCTATCAATTTTCATATCTGATGTAAGCCAACATATTTTCCTGTCAAACGACATTTTCTTTTTTGTATTTTTGATTTCAAATGTGCAAATTTTTTTTCTGTACAGATGAAATGTGAATCGCGACTCTCAAGCCAGGCTCTAAATGAAATCGAGTCCCGCCATTTTGACATCATGAGCCTGGAGTCCAGCATCAGGGACTTGCATGAAATATTTACAGATATCGCTTTACTAGTGGAAATTCAGGTAAGATTTGTCTTTTAAACACAGAAATAATATGCTGGTAACACACTGAAGGCCACTATGTTTTTTTTACCAGGGGGAATTGATGAACAACATTGAAAAGAATGTGATGTGTGCTGCAGACTACATAGACCGCTCCATAACAGAGACTGATAAAGCAATTGATTACAAGAAAAGCACATTCAAGTTGGTTCCTCCAGCCTTCCTGAGGTCTTTCCGGAAACACTCCAAATCTAAGTCTGGACAAAGCACAACACTGTAGCTTAAGAACTTTTTATCTTTGTTTTCTAATTATTTATATCTTTGTCCCATTGATTTCAATATATGCAGTAAATATGTTATAGTGGTTAATTTCCCATGTTTTAATATTTCAGATTAACTATTTAAGGTTGTCTTGTGATTTGTCATTAAAAAAAATGTTGGAGTATTTATTGTTTTAAATTGTAATTAAATTGTGTATAGAGGCAAAAAAATCTATCTTCAATGTTAATTGAAAACTGTCCACAAGCAGTACTGAATTAGGAACTTTCTTAACATTAGTTAACTATGTTACAGTCACTCACTTTGTCCAGTAGGGGGTGTAGTTGTCACACTGAAGTTTTTATCTTTTCCCCTGTTTTCAATCTCCTATAAACAAACAAACTTTCTAATTATTTCAATTATCTAAACCCATCTTTTACATAATAAGTTGGCATTTTGCATATAATCTCTTCTTGCCCGGGTAAAATTGTTGCAGATAAATTACCACTGGAAGAGTCCAAAACTCCTAAACATCTGCATATATTTAACCCTCACACTCTCTTCGGGGTCACATAGACCTGAAGAAACTTTTTTTCCTTCCCATTCTCTTGGAGCGAGTTAATCAGATCAAAAAATTTATTTTCATGGCGAGAAAATACATTTTTGGGTCTGATTGACCCGCCCCAAGAAAGCGGGAAGAAAAATAAAGTTTGTGACCCCGAGGAGAGCATGAGGGTTAAAACGGTATGAAGAACAAACCAAGCTGAAATCCAATGAAAAGTTCTGTGTTGTTCCTACTGTTTATGACCACTTTAAAAATCTTTGTTGCAGCCACAAGGGGAACCTAAATTTGAACCCTCTTTGCCTGCATCACAGGAGCGCAGCCAAAATGAACCCATTGACTTTTCCCTTCAGAAGATGCACCTCATCTCGAATTCCATTTCACAGCACCTTTGCACTTTGCTGAAGCCACTTGTTTCCATATTTGAAACTCAAGTAGAAGGTAATAGATTAGCATGACAATGTAATTTGAAAAACATATAAGGGAAATAGAAATTAGAAAGTACTAGTGTAGAGACATGTGTACACAAAACAGGTTTTATTGGTTGTTACAGGGTGGTGAGGCCCTCAAAATAGGGCTTATCACAATTTAAAAAGGCTGAGACACACAGTGATAAACTGGACAGTGCCATTCACTGCATAACACTGCATAAAGGAATATGTCTATAAGTTAAACTGGCTTGAATCCAGAATATAAGTCTTGTTCTTTGTAATGCTGACAAGTTTAGATTTTTCTTGTTTGTAGGTCCTGACCATTGCAAAAATTTTGAGATATTTTAAACCAGTTTTAATTTTTTTTTTGTAATAAAAAAATAATTTTCATTTCATTTAATAAACACTGCTCAATTGAATATGTATTTTAGTTGTAAGTTTAGATCTGGTTTTGAATTTCAGAAAAAAAAGAAAAGAAATTAAATGAAAAGAAATTTCACCTCATTCTTCTCATAAGCAAAAGATGGTCTCAGACATTAACAACTAAATGCCGTCAAAACAATCTAATTTCAAGTCATTTTAACTCATGGTGATATTCAGTTTTTGCAGTTATAGAATTTACTAAAACATGTTGGAATGGATGTTAGATAAAAAGTGTGGACTTATAGCTGGATACAGTGTCCTTTTGCTTGTTTCTGTGCACTTTTACTTCTTGACTTTGCCCTGAGCAGCCACAGCCTCCATGGCCTTCTTCACGGTCTCCTCGTCTCCCAGGAAAGACATGGGTTTAATGGGCTTGAGATCGGCATCCAGTTCATACACGATGGGGATTCCGGTGGGAAGGTTGAGCTCCATGATGGCTGCATCGGACATACCTGTGGAATAAGAAGACCACAAGTCAGACAGGTAAGTGCTGAGCAGACAGAGCAAATAGAACTAGCACTTGGACTTGTCAGGTGGTCAGGGAGATGGAAAATACAAGTTTAGTGTTTAGAGCAGTGTTAACCTGAAGATTGATCGATTCCTGTTTGTACCAAGTTCTGTCATTTTATCCCTAGGCAAGGCACTTCACCCTTCTCAGTATGATAGTGTGTGTGTGAGTCAGTCTGCCCCAGGGCAGCTGTAGCTTACCACCACCGCATGTGGAGTGAATGAATAATGACTGTGAGAGGCTTTTACAAGCCTGTAAAGTGCATTACAAGGGTAAGGCAGTATTATCATTTTATCAGATTATACTTATTGGCACTTTTCACTTTTTTCTGGCTCTATCACAGTATTTTACCTGTCCATCATATATAGTATATAAATATAACAAAAAGTAATATTGACATGTGTCTAGTATTATAGTAGTATGGCTCCACGGTGAATACTGCACACATTTCTAAGTGTATATGAAACAGCACCATATAAAACAATCCAAAGTACCCTCATGGTGTTTTTTTGTTTTTTTTTTTGCACAGATTTATGCTTTCCTCAGACTCCTTTCACATAGTGTGAACAAGAGTGCAATATGTAACAGGCTCCCCGTTAATGAGGTATTATGAGGTATGTATGTTGAATCACTGTAATCTACCTTTATGAATGGCATTTCCTGTTGCCCTTTAGACAGTATCACTGGACATGTCCATGTCCGACCACTCTGTCAGAGCACACAACCTTTCTTCATAAAGGTCATTAGTGTAACTGGAACCCCCTCATGACTGTCTGCCCTGTCCCTGAGTTCCACAGGCCCACTGGGCTATTTATATGCTCCATAATCACTACTGTGTACGTGGGGCAAATCTCTCACTTTATTCCACCCCAGCTTTTGTATACAGCTTTTCTGAAGACCTATGCATTGCAAACATGTTTAGAGTGTTAAAAGTACCTTCCAAGTGCTTTACAATGCCGCGGAGACTATTGCCATGGGCTGCGATGATTACGTTTTTCCCAGCTTTGATTTCAGGAGCGATGACTTCGTTCCAGAAAGGAAGGGCGCGGGCAATGGTGTCCTTGAGGGACTCACAAGTGGGCAGTTCACCAGGCTTCAGGCCCTTGTAGCGACGTGACTAGAAATACACAGAACGTAATTATTTATACACCAAACACTTATGTTGTACGCAATACGTTTTTAAACAAAACCCTTGAAAACTATTTTCAGCAAGTTCCTTTAGTTTTGTTTGAATCAAAAGCATAATTACATCTTTAACTGCTTTTTTCTATATTGTATTTTTTTTTACAATACAATACACACAATACATGCCATTGACTATATTATGTGTATTCTCTCTTCTAGCTTTACCTCACTGATGATCTGATGGTATGGGTGGTCCTTGTCCATGGGAGGAGGAGGGATATCAAAGGAACGCCTCCAGATCTTCACCTGCTCCTCTCCGTGCTTCGCCGCAGTCTCCGCCTTATTCAGCCCCGTGAGACCACCATAGTGACGCTCATTCAAACGCCAGGTACGAATGACAGGTAGCCACATCTGGTCCGTCCCTTCCATGATGGTCCAGAGTGTCTTGATAGCGCGTTTGAGCACAGAGGTGTAGCAAACGTCGAACTTCATCCCGGCCTCCTTGATGGCCTGGGCTCCACGCTGGGCCTCCTCCATGCCCTTCTCACTGAGGTCGGCATCGAACCAGCCGCAGAATCGGTTCTCCTGGTTCCACTGGCTCTCACCGTGGCGGACGATGACCAAGCGATGAACTGCAGTCATGTTTGTAGTGTTTTTCCTTCAGCCTTTCTAAACTGTCCACACACACTGGCCGACCAACAGTGAGCCCCAGTCCACATGCCAGACTTTTTATAGCAGCGTGCATGGTGGTAGTGCAGAGCAGGCAGGGCTATGTCACAGACCACCTGTAGAAGCTGGTTCTTGTGTGACAGACACATAATCAGACCAATAGCAGCCAAATACTGAAAAAAACTGGTGTGAACGTTCAACTGCGAAGGCCAGAGGTCAGGTATTAGGCCAAAATAGCAACATGACTTTTAAAGGGGCATATGTGAAACAAAAGTGTAAAGATCAGGTCTAAAGAAGACATGGTGCGTGGATATATTGTAATATAATATGGAATCTATCTTACTATACCTGATTTAATGATTGTAATTGCATAACATTAATGAATTGCCTGTTCATTAGGCTTTTCAAATATGCAAGAAGCACTGTATATAGTCAAAACAGTGCTGCATACAGAGTAAACAAAACAGACAAAAAGATCCCCTCTATTCTGTTTAAGCAATGAGTCCCTATGTTGTACTGATAACTTTAGAGCCATATTAAGAGTTGTTAAATAGCCATATACTAAGCTGTAAAACACAGTAAAAGTCAAATCCTACCCTCTGACTACCTACTCTGGTTGCTATTGGAAACAAATTGTTGGTTACTACTACTACGACAATTTCTTATATATTCTTATTATATTATATATTATATATTACTTATTTGACTACTTCTACTAATGGGTCATCAAGTTCATCCTGATCCAAGGACAGTAGAATTATGTGATGATACTTGAAAACAAAGACACAAAGCAATATATTGAGTGAATGAGAGTCGCAGGATCCGGCCCCATTAAATCAAATTATAATGTCGCCCTTTATCTAGGATATGACAGGTGAAGCCAAACTGTAAGATAAAATTAAAGTCTGTTTTCTGTATTCATTTCAACCTAATCTGTCATACTTGAAAACATAGCCAACTAGTATATTGATACCATGGATACATTTATTTTTCCAGCTGAAATTTTAGTAAAGGCACACTTTTTAGGTTGAGAATTCACCATTTGCTTGTCTTGCTTGCTTTGTCTGGAATGTTCCACAGTATGGCAATAAAAGCACCTCTCTATGGAGAAAAGTAGGTGACTCCATGAGGCTAAGTTACAAATCAAGATTGATAGATAGATAGATAGATACATTTAATGCCATACTGGGGAACATTGTTAGACTGGCTTATACCCCCTCTATTTATGCACTGGAATCAGCTCCTACACATTTTACATGATCATAAATTCATCGGCTTCTTTTGTTTTACCTTTATGCAAAACTTTTTGACTTGTGTGTGTGGGAAGAAACTCATCTCTTTTTGTAATATCCCCCAGGCTGATTAAAGTCCACTTGTGCACAGAAAAGCCCAGTGCACTCAGTGCTGTTAGGCTGAGAAAAGTGTACACAGGGGGTTTGTGTGGTCATCAACTGTTACTGATGAGTCAGCCTGCTGCAAACACCTCAGGATCTGCCCCCCTCTGCTCCCCACCTAAAGAACCTCTGTTTGGTACAGTGCCGGTAGGTACAGGTACACATCTGAAATACACTGGAAATGATACTATACATAATATGCACGTTCATATATACTAAATAAATACATAAATACTAATACAAATAAGAGTGCTGCAAATGTGTTACAATTTGAAACAGGGAAATCAAGAAGAGCTACGTGTTTTGGATCATAGACGGTATAAAGTGGACTAAGTGAGTGTGAAGTCACCTATAGCATTTGGCTCTAGTCAAATGAAGGTCACAAGGCTAGAGGTTATATGAGCGAATTTGGGGCCGATTTCTGTATGTAATGTCAACTGGAGCTAGAATCAGTGGAGCCGAAACTATGCTCATGCTCACTTGCTGTTTGGAATGTGGGGGCTAGCAGGTTAACTATGTCCACTTATATAAACAGTCTATATTTTGGATTAATGATAATTTGTTTTATCAGGATTGGGTTCAAAAGTGGAAGAGTAGCCAAAAAATACTGAGTAATTACATTAAATAATGCGCAGAATCAGGTATTTTCAAAGGATAGACCACAACAATGAGATCAATTAAAATCATATCTAAAAGAGTGATGCAAGATATTTAACATTTAAATAATTTAACATTGTCAGCATAAAGGTTTTGTCACTTTAGACTAACTAACAGTTAAAGAAAAGTACTGTTACACATGCAATATATTACTCAAGTACTATGAAAGCTTTGTTGTCCAGAAAGTACTGTGAGAAGTATAGCTTTAATTAAAAAAAGTACTACTCACCAGGTTAGGTCACTGTAAATTAGAAGTGTATTATATGAATATGAAAATTATGAATAAAAATTACACACAAAGATGCGTTGGCCTTGTAAGTTCTATTAGATGCATTCATCCATGGCAAATCTTTTTAAATGTGAAAAGTTGTCCACTGAAGCCATAGCAACAGCTGCCATTATGTGATGAATCACAGATTTTTGTTTTCACCTCTGAAGCCTCTACTGCATACCACACATTCATATACTCTTTAAAGATCTACATAAGAACAAAGTGAACTTATAAATGAAAATCTAAGCATTTGTTCAGTCAATATTTGAAGGGACTCTCTTTTCCTTGAATAAACTTTTTTAAACATAACATTTTAATTGAGATTCAACTTGCTTGATCTGCATTTTGAAAGTTAATAAAGCTACTTCTTGCATTTCAAAAGATGACATCCCAAATCAAATGTACATTTGTATTTAATTTAAAGTTATTTATTGATTCTTTTATAGTCATATTCAGCGAATAATGTTTCCCTAAGCGTTTGACATCTCATTTTAACCTGTATTTTAAGTTAAGTTGTTTAAGGTCAAAGCTGTAGTTCAGGTTTTTGAACACTAGGAGACTTGCTGAGTCACTGCTGTTGAATGAGGACAGCCCCTCCCCCCACAACACTCCCCTCTCCTCCTGCAGTATGCATACAGTATACAGTAAGGTTTTACTTATATAACATATATCCAGCAAACATTTCAAAGATATATTGCAGTTCTGCACATTGGGCCATTGTCCAATTGTGTTTAATGTGTATTTGCATGCACAATTGCCATATATATGTCAGTTGTGGTTTAATTGTGCATTTTTGCAAATAGAATGTTAATAAACAAAGAAATGGTAAGTATTGTCATTCTGTCAATCACCTTGTATTCTCCCTCTTCCCTCATTAACTCTGTCCGATATTCCTCCAACATGTATTCCCAGGGTGCCTGCTGTCTTGCTGCCTCCCATTGCAGTGTAAGACTATCGAGGCTGCATTGTCAGAGTTTGGGGAAAGCGCTTGCGTCAGAGCTCCCTCTCCCTGTATAAAAGCCGTCGGTGCTGCAGCAGTGAGCAGTCGTGGCTTAGACCTGAGCCGAGTCCACTTCACACTCAGACAGAGGAGAGGGAGAGCAGCCTTGTCCTCATCATGAGTAGCCTCGGATATGACCCCTACTACTCACCTTCCCCATCCTACCGCCGCTGGTATGTGGAGTCTCCCCCCCGCGTCTCCTCTCGGGGCAGGACCCACTCTGTGTACGCCCCCCACACCATGTCGTCCTCTTCCCGTGTGCAGTACGCCTCTCCGGGTCGGGTGCTGCTCTCCTCCTCCTCCCCGGCCCAGTCTCTGGAGCTGGAGCTCAGCCAGGCGGCCCAGATCAGTTCGGAGTTTCGGGCGGTTCGAACCCAGGAGCGGTCCCAACTGCAAAACCTCAATGACCGCTTTGCCGGCTTCATCGAGAGGGTGAGGGAGCTGGAGCAGCAGAACCGCGCTCTGGAGGCTGAGCTCATGATCCTGAGGCAGAGGCACACTGAGCCATCTCGTCTGAGGTCACTGTACGAGCAGGAGGCCCGAGCTCTCAGGGCTGCTGTGGACGAGGCCAGGGCAGAGCAACAAGCTGCTCTGGGTCAGAGGGAGCGCCTGGAGCAGACCCTGAGTGCTCTGCAGGGCCGCTATGAAGAGGAGGTCCTGGCTCGTGAAGATGCCGAGGCCCGTCTCATGGAGGCCAGGCGTGAAGCTGACCAGGCCGCTTTGGCAAAGGCCGAGCTGGAGAAGAGTGTTGAAATCCTGCTGGAAGAACTGGCTTTCCTCAAGAGGGTCCATGAAAATGAACTGGCTGAGCTCCAGGCCCAGGTGCATCTGGGGGTGCAAGTCGCTGTAGAGTCTGAGGCTGCAGCTCCAGACCTGTCCGGGGCTCTGCGGGACATCCGATCTCAGTACGAGAGGCTGGCGGCCAGGAACATCCAGGCGGCAGAGGAGTGGTTCAGGGGTAAGGTGGGCACGCTGACTGAGACCGTGGCCCAGCACACAGATGCGGTGAGGAGCACCAAAGATGAAGCAGGAGAGTACAGACGCCAACTTCAAAACCGCATCCTGGAGATCGATGCATGCAGAGGCCTGAACGAGTCCCTGGAGAAACAGCTACATGAGATGGAAGACAAGAACAGTGCAGAAATAGCAGCTATGCATGTGAGTGTTACAGGAACAGTTACCTGATGCCTGACATCCTTTCTGTATTGTAATAATGTCTGCACTATTACTTCTAATGTGTCTTCCTCTGTGTAGGACACCATTGGAGACTTGGAGAATGAACTGAGGGGCACCAAACAGGAAATGGCTCGTTATCTGAAAGAGTATCAAGACCTTCTGAATGTCAAGATGGCCCTGGATATCGAGATTGCTGCATACAGGTGAAACAAGATATTCTAATCTTGACATCTTAAGCCAATGAATTTTTAAGTAGTTTACTTTTAACCCCTTTCTGACCTTCTGACCAAGGCCGTAGATCAAGTTGACTAAATTATTGATGAATGACAAAATTACCCTTATATTTGATCTGTTAATAGTTTTTTGTTTGTTTGTTTTTGAGATTGAGACTGTCTTTTTCAAGTAAAGCTAGATTAGTTTATCATGAAAAAATGTAGAACACTTATCAATGCATTATGTAAGAAGCAAAAGATTTCCTCGAAGCCCTAATAATATTACATCTTTTACATCTTCTGTCTGATTCTCTATACAGGAAGTTGCTGGAAGGAGAGGAGTCTCGCTTCAATGTGGGTGGAGTCGGGGCCGTGGCCTCTATGTACAGCCATAGCCTCTCTGTCCCCTCCTACAGTCGCCCCGTCTTCTCCAGCCTGAGCTCAGGCACCTCCTACCTGATGACATCACGTCTGTTCAGCTCCAGCACCACCGAGGGCCTCATCTCCGCCAGCCAGGCCCCCCAGGCAGAGGCTAGCCCACCCGCCGAGGAAGAGGAGGAGGAAGAGGAGGAGAAGGAAGTAGAGGAGGAGGGAGCAGAGGAGACTGAGGAGGCCAAGGAGGAAGAGGAGGAAGGCGAGGAGGGAGGAGACGACGAAGGAGAGGGAGAGAAAGAGGAAGAAGAGGAGGCTAAAGAAGGAGAGGAGGAGGCTACTGAGGCAGAGGAAGGTTAGAAGAAAACCCTAGATCTGTTTCAAGAAATAGAATTTAACATGTTGTCCATATGGATGCAGTTGTAGGTTTTGTGATGTGTTTTCATATTTACAACACGACATAAAAGATCTGTGGAACCCAACTCCATAGGTCTTATACCTGACCTGAACATAAAATATTTCTGACATCTTTCTACCTTGCATTTAATCTTGCATTTATAAAATTTAAATCAAAAGGGTTCCTTATACTTTTCCTGACACAGTTAAATTCTCAGATCCAAACCAAAACAATTAGAGCCAATCAGGGTATGCTAACAGAAGCTTAATGACTCATTAGAGGCATGAACAACTCAGGAGTCCGTTCACACCTTAGGGTAGTTCAATGGATTTAACTAATAACCAGTACTCTTTACTTTAAACAACTAGGGTGTGCTAGTTTTAGTGTAGTTTGCTCCTCCCTTCAGGCAGATATAAGGCCTACTAGAACTCTGTCAGAACTGAAGAAGCTGCTTGGATCAGTGGAAAAACTTATTTGCTTTTAAAACCATATGCCCAATTTACAAAACTAAATTGCTATAAACATTTCTATGAATGTAATATAAATATGATATATAATGCCCAAAATATTGCTGCTTGTCAATATTTTCATGCTCTATTCTTTGATACACCACACTCACTAAAATCTACTGGGCTGTTATGCAACAAATCTTTATTTTTTGCCAGTCTGCTGTATTCCAATGTATTCTCATTATTGCTTTGTTTTTGAGCAGGTGGTGATGAAGAAGAGCAAAAGGGAGAAGAGACCGAAGCTGCAGAAGAGGAAGGAGGAGAAGGAGAGAAAGACAACAAAGAAGAAGAGGAAGCAGAGAGTGACGTGAAAGAGGAAGACAAGGATGAAGGAGGCGATGACGACAAAGACGCTGATGCTGACGCTGACGCTGATGCTGACGCCAAAGACGAGAAGGAAGAAGAGCCAAAAAAGAGTGACGACAAACAAGAGAAAGAGGAGAAAGCCGAACCTAAGAAAGTGGAGAAGACTCCAGAAAAAGAGGAAAAGGCCGCTCCAGAAAAGAAAGACAAATCCGAGAAGGACGAAGCTGTGAGCAAAAAGGAAGACAAGCCCGCTCCAGAGAAGGCAGAAAAGGTAGAGAAAGAGGAGAAACCCGCTCCAGAAAAAGAGGAAAAGAAAGAAGCTAAGAAAGAAGAGAAAAAGGAAGAGAAGAAAGAAGAGAAGAAGGAAGAGAAGGCTGCTCCAAAGAAAGATGCCAAAGCTGAACCAAAGAAGGAGGAAGACAAAACCGCCAAACCCGCAGAGGACAAGAGCAAAGACGCTGACACCAAGAGTAAGAAGTAAGCCAGCTGCACTCCCAAATCTCTGCTCCATTCTAATAGAGGCATCCGCTTGTTCCATGGTGCTCTGTCTACAAAGTACAGTAGCTATTTACAGCAAAAGTCAAGGTTACCTGCTTGCCAATATCCAAACTAGTCCGTCAGGATGTCAGTATACACTTGAATGTAACACGCCTAAATGCTGGATGTACGTGTGTGTTTTGGTGATAGAATAAACACTTCTTACAACCCTTAAGTGTTTCAATCATCTTTGATCTTATAGCACAGTTCTGTGTTTTAGGTCTTAGGGTGTCATTATCATTATTGTCTAATTTCTTATGGCATTCAAAATCCAAAAATGTGTTCACTAACCAAATTCCTTTTTAAATGTCTGAGTTAATTGTTGTTTAATTAATGAATGGGTTACGTACACTTACATTGTCTAAATATTATGCTATCTGTTAGTATATACATGTCAGATTCAGGATGGACTTCTATTAAAGAAACATTTAGTTGTAACCTGCAACACTGAGGATTACAAGAAAAACAAACATCCCAAATCTGGGTGATTCATCATAATAAATTAAACATCACACACCATCTGTTACTTGTTACTCATTTCTGTCTTAGGGTAGGCTTGTTCATTTTTAAATGTGGTGTTCATACAAAAAATCTATTTTGACTTTAACAATAATTACAATCAAAATGCTAATTTATTCTTAGTTACACAAATATTGGATATTACGCCCCTTTTATTTATGTTATAATTTGGTATATTATTAATATTTATTCATATTTTCATTCTCAAGAATTATCAACAATAATCCAATTATTATCAATCAATCAATCAAACTTTATTTGTATAGCACTTTTCATACATTTGAAATGTAGCACAAAGTGCTTCACATGCAACAGAAAAATTACAATACAATAATTAACCCCCCACCCCAACCCAGTGTTTCATCCATATATACACCAAATTAAACAGAAACATAAAACATAAACATAAAGCTCCTAAAGGTTAAAGTAAGAGTAAAAATGGAGAGCTAAGATCAAATGGAGACTAAGTAAAAAAGCAATGATAATTTAATTTAAAACAAATATAGTAATAACAACCCTAATAATAAGTTCATAAGTTAATAAGTTTCAATTAAAAGCTAAATTAAAAAGATACGTTTTGAGTTTACTTTTAAAAATATGAACACTCGCAGCAGACCTCAGATCCTTAGGTAGAGTGTTCCACAAACGGGGGCCGTAAAAGCTTAAAGACGCCTCACAGTGAGTTTTAGTCTGGACTCTTGGGACAGTTAAAAGGTGACTACTTGAGGACCTGAGAGTCCGAGAGGGCTCATATGATAAAAGCAGATCAGATAAATAAATAGGACTAAGACCATTAAGAGCTTTATAAACCAATAAAAGAACTTTAAAATCTATAAAATATTATGATCTTTACATGATTTGGGTTCCCAGTTTCAATGCTGAAATTCAATTGTTTTAAAGCCAAATGACTCTCTCGATCTGAACCCCAGAACTTCCAGACAATCATGATTCAGTGCTAGTGCAGCCTCTGCAGCTCAGGGAGGGAATCTGGGATGTACTGAGCTTTCACATGAGACATGGCCTGTCCATGTACTGAGAAGAACATGTATGTGTACTCTATCTGCTGTTTAAGGCACTGGCCACCAAGGTTAAGTTGTGATTGTAGTGCCTTTTTTAAAACACTAAGAATACAGGTTACATACGGTTCCTTTAACTCTTAACCATTTAATCTTGAGTTGCATAAATATTCTCCTATAACACAGATGAAAATAAAAATAATACAGCTTAGTTATAGAGTACATTTCTAGGCATTTTTCTAGACAGTGCTCTACAATATAATGTATAATTAATTTACTTCCTACTTAACTGCCAGAGGCCATCAGATCACGACCAATCACCCACTCCCACATCACATTAACACCACCGTAAGCACAGTAAGCACGGGGTGAAGTGCCTAACTACAAATCAGCAGGGTGCATTTGGAGGTGGGATCAAACCGCTAACCATTACATTCTGTGTATTGTGGGCAAAGTAATTCAACCTAACCCATTATGTTCATATGTCTGTCTCCTCAGTTATCGTATAATTCATGAAGTTTAAATTTATCTTAGTCTTATTAACAACGACACCACCCATTTTATTAAAATATTTGTGTAATGTTTCATCATCTGTATGTTTATCTTAAACCAAATGGATCCTTTTTGTGTCCAAACCCTGTTACGCAGCTCTGTAATTAAGTTTTAACGTGTCAATCATCAATGCAGAGTTTAAGCAAAATTATGAAATAACACAGAGAGACAGAAGGTAGAGTTTGTTTTGACATTTATTGAGCAAATGCTGCTGGGAAGTTGTTCATGATGTCTAGAGACATGGGATTGCAAACAGTAGCACCTCATTTATTTTGTATTTAAATTCAAGTCCATCCTATGCATACAAGAATGCACATACCGCCGCATGTACAGTGATTGATTATTTTCAGTTGCACTCAGGTAAACATAACAGACACTGATAAAAAGCATGTTTAAGGCTAGTAGTCTTCAGTAGGTTGGTTAAGCTTCAGATACTTGATGTAATATGGTCCATCGCTCAATTGCCCTGGGACTTTCTATCCTGTCATTTGTGTTGTTAGTTACTTTTTTGGCTCAGTAGATTTATCATCTCAAGTACAGTAAGGCTTCTTCAACATGTGTAGAGGACCCTCCCTCCTTAGCTGCCCCTTTATCCCTTTATAATACTCAAAAAACTCTTAATAATATAGATCTCACTCTCCCACCCTTAGTGCATTCATTGCTTTGATATATATATATATAGACTCTTTTTTACAATGTGTTCCTATCATACACATTCGAGAGGACGTGGCACCCTCTCCCCTGAGCTAGCATGCAGAGACCCCGCCCCCCTCCCTCTTTTCCCAAAATGAACTGCATAAAGAAATAAAGGAACAAGTAATAACCAAACGTCTGTCTTTGCTCCGCCCACTTAAAGCTTTCACTCGACATGCATTTTGGAGATGTTTAGCGTTTTCTTTTTGGCTTCTAGGATCGTGTTGTGGTTATCTTGAAGTACGCCGCTCTAGCTGTTATGATTGGTTGATTGCTTTGTCTTCTCTTGACTCCTCCTCCTCCTTTGGCCCCGCCCTCTGAAGCCAACGCCTCCTACTCAGCCTCGGTCACCTGCTTGACGGTCTGGGTGGAGTGTTTTTCCATCTTCTTTGTTGCCACCACCTTCTCCTGGACCTCCTCTTCAACTTCCTTCACTGTTTCTGTAACAGTGACGGATTTGGTGATGTGCTTGGAGCCATCTTCTCCGGTGGTGATGGTCTCCACAGTTTGGGTGATGACGACTTTCTGGCCAGCATCATCTTTCACAGGGCTGTCGTCCACGCCGTTGGCAATCACTTCTTTTTCTTCATCTTTTTTCTTGTCTAAGTCTCCGTTCATGGCTGCGTCTTTCTTCTCAACCTTCTTGTCATCGGGCTTCTCTGGTTTGTCATCCTTGGGTGCAGTCTCCTTTTTGGGGGACTGAGCTTTTGGAGATTCAGACTTCGGGGAGCTTTCTTTGGGGCTGCTGGGCTTGGGAGACTCAGACTTGGGAGAGCCAGCTTTAGGAGATTCAGACTTAGGAGAACCAGCTTTTGGAGACTCACTCTTGGGAGAGCCAGCCTTTGGAGACTCAGACTTGGGAGAATCAGGTTTGGTAGCTTTGGATTCTGTCTTTGGAGCTTCACTCTTAGAGACAGGTTCTTCTTTCTTCTCATCCTTATTGCTGTCGTCTTTGTCCTCCTTCTCATCGCCACTTTTAGATGCTTTGTCATCATCTGCTTCTTCTTCTTTGTCATCACCAGCTTCTGAAAAGATGCAACAAGTGATATCAAATTAAAGGTTAACAGTATATAAACACTGCAATAAAATGTAGGTTTTGTGATTTTGCTCATATATATTATATTATAGACTATTCTTTGATTCTTTTGTCCATTCACATTTGTTCTTTTTGCTCTTAATTTTAGCCCAAATATAGAATCAGTTTGGTTCTGGTATAGTCCTAGTCCAGATTTGGTTACAGCTACAGATTAGTCACGATTTTCATTCAGGACAAGAGTCTTTAAACCTTTAAAAACAATGAAATAATTACCTTCATCAGCTGCCTCTTCCTCTCCACCACTTCCCTCTTTCTCTTTGTCTGGAGATGCTTTGGACTCTGGAGCTTTGGAGCACAGCACTGTCTCCTCCACCACCTCACCTCCTTCCTCTCCTCCCTCCTCACCTTCATCTCCTCCCTCTTCATCCTCAGCCTCCTTCTCTCCTTCCTCATCTCCTCCTTCCTCATCTCCGCCCTCCTCTTCCTCCTTCTCTCCTTCCTCTCCCGCTTCACCTTCACCCTCCTCTTCCTCCTCTTCTTCTCCACCCTCTTTGCCCTCTTCTTCCTCCTCTGCCTCTCCCTCTTCTCCTGGGGCGCTGGAGCTGACTTTAGCTTCGGAAGCGGCTATTACTTCCTCTCCCTCTCCCTCCTCCTCTCCCTCTTCCCCTCCCTCCTCTTCGTTTCCATCTTCCTCCAGAGTAGCGGACAGCTCCTGAGCGATCTCGGCCAAAGCTTCGTCCATTTCAGCTTTGTCGTCCTCCACCCTGGTCTCTTCGATGATCTCTTCCACAAACTTGTGCTGCACCTTCAGCCTGGGAGCTTCGGACTTGGTTTTGGAGATGGTCTGGCGATATGGGAAAGAAGTGCTAAAGTGGGTCTCTTCACCTTCCAGAAGTTTCCTGTAGAAAGATAAAACTCACATGAGATCTGAGTAACTGAGTAAATGTTCCCAGAGCACTGGTAGCGCAATTGTCTCGATATATTTGACTTAAAAATAAATCAAAGTAGACTCCAATACTATAAAACAGGTCTAGCTTCTATTTTTGATTTATTCCAGTAAGCTGTATCTGCCATAATACATCAGTAATTTACAATTGATTTTCTCTTTTTACAAGTTCTGGAAAGTTTGAAAAAGAAAGAAAAAAAGTTTAGGAATTTTTTCTGATTTTATTACCCACATGTATTGCATTAAATGAGTGGGTTTTGTTTCTGCAGCAATCACAGGTGCTGATGTTAGTGAGACTGCTGTCATCTCTCTATTTGAATTCTAATGTCAACCTGTCAAATTTATCTGCATTACTCACTGTCACTTCTTGTTATTCAAACTCCTCAATAACTGATGCAGAATTAAATCTGGCACATTTCAATCACTTTTTACCTGTATGCAGCAATCTCAATATCCAGGGCCATCTTGACATTGAGCAGATCCTGGTATTCACGCAGGTGACGGGCCATCTCCCATTTGGTGCTCTTGAGCTCATTGTCCAGTTGGTGAATGGTTTCCTGTACAAATACAAACATCAGACTTGTCCTTGTGTGTTTAATAAAGTGCAGGTGTAGTGTAGGATTATTGGCATGTACTGATTTTAACTCATTCTCCTTGATCCAACAGAACATAACTGAACCCTCCTGTTTCTTAAATCATTTAATTATGACGCAGTACAGTCCTCTGCATTTGTTCAGGGTCTTGTTTTCAAGGGCACCCCCTACGCCCCCACCCCTCCCACTGCAAGTGGTGTGATGTGAGGACAATACAGGAGCCAATGGACGCATCGACCCACACCTCTGACTCAGCGCTTAGCATTCAGAGAAAGTGTGCTGCTGCGTCTCCCCATAACTGCCTCCAAAGAGCGTGATTAATGTGAGAGTGCAGAGAGGTACTGAGAGTTTGGGAGAGGTACAGAGAGTTTGGGAGAGGCGCTGATGCGCACACAGCCAGCATGACGCAGCACAAAAAATGCTGCAACACCGCATTACGCACAGGACTATGCGCAGTTCACTAAGATAGTTACACGTTAGCCTGTATTACTGTTAAGTGTAATAAGTTTTAATTCATACAAAACTGTCTGAAGCAAGTGGCATATAAAACTACACCCCCATGACCTGACATATCCTTTAAAAAAACGTCATTATTCTAAACATGAAACATCTCCCAGTGTTGCCTCTTTACCTGTGTGATGTCATTGTGAGGCATGAGCCATGACACAGCACAAATAAAGAATTTTAAAAGATTGTCGGGATTTACCTGGAGACTCGCCAAGTCGCTGTTATGGCGGTCTTCGATGTCATTGAGCTGCCGCTCGAGGGAATCCCTGGTGCCGCGCACGGACTCCAGCTCCACGGTCTTAGTCTGGAGTTGGCGGCGGTATTCTGCGATCTCGTCACGCGCGGACTTGATAGCATCCTTGTTCTGTTCTGCAGCCTCGGTTAATTTTGCATAACGATTTGTAAACCAGGCTTCTACGTGCTGGAGGTTCTGTGTGGAGTGACCCTCGAGCTCAGAGCGGATCTCGCGCAGAGCATCGGTGATGTCAGCCTTGTGCGTATCTCGGCGCTCCACGCGCACCTGTGCCTCCTGAATCTGCGCAAGCAGCTCACGTACTTCTTCCTCGTGGTTATTCCGGATGAAAGCCACCTCGTCCTGTAGAGACTGAACTTTCTTCTCGAGTTCTGCCTTGAGCAGGTCTGCGTCGCTCGTGTCCTTCTTCAGGACCCGGATGATGGCTTCGGTGTCCTCGCGGAGCCGGGCCTCGTCCTCAAAGCGTTCGCGGAGCCGCTGAATGTCCTCCTCTAGGCGCTCTGAGTCCAGGTGCACCTGCGCCTTTTCGCGGTGTACCTGCTCTAGAGCGAGTCGTAGCTCACGCAGCTCCTGATCGTATGCGTCTCCCAGCTGGGTCCGGGACACCTGCCTGTCCCGCAGAGCCTGGATCTCTGCCTCGAGTTGCTGGTTGTGCTGCTCGAGGAAGTGCACCTTGTCAATGTAGACAGCAAAGCGGTCATTGAGCCCCTGTAGCTGCTCCTTCTCTGAGGCGCGTGTGTATTCCCCGTTCAGGCTGAAGTCTGCGCTCTCTATGTTACTGTGTGCGCGGGACACCGGCACATTGACAGTGCGCTTGTAGCTCACAGTGGACGCGGGACTCGCACGGGACCACGACTGGGAGCGGAATCCGCTGGATGGGGACCCGACGGGGCGGGTGTAGTAGGTCCGGGTCTCCATGGTTCTTCTGAACGGGCTCCCTGTGGGGTCCATGCCTGACTGGGGCACTGCAGATCAGAACTGGGGCACAATGAGGCGGAGCGCAGAGCACACGTGGAGGTGTGTGTGGTGTGTGTGGAGTGTGTGCAGGTGTGGCTCTGAGCGACTGAGGGCTCCTCTCTGCGAGCCTTTTATATGAGGCTCTGAGCCGGTGCCGCTCAGTGTTCGGGCTCGATGAGAGAGAGAGGGAGGGAGAGGAGTGGGGAGAGCTGAGAGAGGGAGGTGGGGCATTTCAGGCCGGGGTCCCTCCGGGTCTGGACTCTGGACCACGTGGTCAGGACGAGACCACTGAAAAATACCCTATACTTGCACAGTGCCGTTTTTTGTTCGTTTGATTTTACGCACGCGTAAGGTGAGTTCGTTTATAGCACAGGACTACGCAGGCGTTTACGTTCACATTTCAGCACCAGAGACAGCGCTCTTCAGATTCTGAACCATTTCCTCAACTCCCACTCGAACAAATGAGGAAATACTCACAACATTGATAAAGTAGTCTCTGAAGAGTTAAAAAAGACATATTAGAACAACTAAACACACGTCTAAAAAATAAATAGTGATAAACTTGCACTCAGTGTTCAACATTCTGTCTATACTTAGCTAATACATTATCTATTGTTCCATTAACGCAGTGTGCTTCCCACTAACAGTGGCTTCAGTGTAAAGATGCTTTTCTGGTCACTTGGTCTCGTAAACAGTTTATTGATCCTCTATCATTCTGAATGCTTTACTCTAATCTGGGGTCATTTGGGTCAGTGTTAACGATTACCAATCACGCAGAAACAGCTGCATCAGGATGTTGTGAATGTCCCTGCTTTTATTCCATTTGTTTAATTCTGTCAATCCACAGGCCATTTCCTCCCATGTCATGAGCCTTAATGGAGACCCATTCATGCAGTGATGTATGCCCCGTGAGATCACACAGTAGGCTATGTCTTCTTAATAGTATCACTAAAACTGTTTATTTCAAGGCAGTCCATTCATTATAGTGTACATTTTTGCCTTTTGAGATATTGCTACTTCCAATAAATCCATAAACCAACTCTACATTTACACCAGATACACTTCGCTTCTCACATGGCACCATACTCTGGCTGCAGGCGATTTCGGCAACTCGGCAACTCTACCACTCTGTCACTCTGCACTTAGCGAAAAAAATACGAGTTAAAAACCACCATCAATAACCGGGTTACCTAAGCTTTTAATGGCTGTCTGGGTTATTACCTTGCCAGAGACGGATGACAGTTGACACTAATGCATCAAAGTTGTATCAGTCATATGAGGTCATGAAAATTAGAATAGCTAGACCCTTACGTCAGGTTACTGTAAGCACCAGTATCTTAGTCTAAAAGGGCTGAAAGATTACTCACAACTGAATCGATGCAATTAGTAAATCGCGAAGACTGCAGTTTTTTAACTACTAAGTAGTTGAAGTAGTAATTTTTCCCACAAATAAAATATATTGTTTTAGTCTGCATAAAAACTGCTGACCCTGTAATTGACATCTTTACAAACATGTTCTGAAATGTGACTCTTGCATTAATTTGTCAGTTCACTATTTGTCTTCTTGGTTCTTGTCAGGTCTTTTGGACAAGTTTAAAATGTAAACTTTCAAGAGAATCCTTTGATTAAAAAAAACTCATTGCAAATCTAAACACAATGCTTGTCAGAAAAAAAAAAAAAAATCCAAATCGTTCAACCCTAGTCCATATTCAGTCATGAAAAGAATACTTTGCAAATCTATTTAGTTACAGAATATTGAATACATGCACTAAAATATGTTTAGTAAAGTATTTCGATACATGGGCCGATCAGAGTACTGTATTCTGAATACTTAGAATAGGTTTACATCAAGTTGCATTTAAATGAAAGAGTAAAGATGCTACATAGCATTAAAGTAGCTTTATGTTTGTTTCACTGCACTTGATTTTCTCTATGCATTTTCTGTCACTGATTGTAGAAGATCACACATGCACTCTCCACGAGAATGTGGCTTCATATTCTTCTCACTGCTACAGTGCAGTTTGAAGCCTAAATTGTATGATCAAGTACCACAATGCATTCCTTTTATTTAAAAAAAGTAATTGTGTTCTGAATACCACAAAATTTGAAAAAAGTATACTCTACAAGAATGCATTAACTCAGAATTTGTATCCTGAATACATATTCTTGGTTCATGTATTCAGTGTCATGGTTCATGTTTCTTTGCATGTTTTGATGTGTCTTATTCCTTTTAGTGTATCCCCTTGGTGTTTTAATTTCACATTTGACCTGTCTGCTTGTGTTTTGGAATTTTTCTTTCTGTCCTGATTGTTTGCCGCACCCTAATGTGTCACATCACATCCTCCACAATCCTCCATTTTTCAGGTGTCAATTAAATGTGCCATATTAAGTGGTGTCTGAAAGAAAACCATGGAAGGAAGGAAGCATCAGGGAGACTTCAGGAGGCAGACATCAGGTAAAAGAAAATAAAACTCCGTGAGGAGTTTATATCCTCTGTCCTTGCTGTCTCCTCTGTGGGTGGGACTTCCTCACCCATTTCCTACAGAATCAAGGAGAGGAATCAAGGAGAAGGAAGCGAGGAAAGAGAAATGAAACGCCAGTGTTTTCCTGTGCCCTTTGTTGGTTCATTGTCAATGTCACGTCTCTTTGGATTTTTGTCTTTGGTTTTATCTGCGGTCATTGTTTTTGCGGTCAAGTTCACATTAAAACATGTTTTAAATGCAGTCCTGTATTTTTGTGCCCCACCCTGTTTCAACTTCACTTTTAGTTACTTCCCAACACTGTCTATATTTCATTACTGCGTCCTTTGTCGCTGTCTTATTATTATTATTATCTGACCTTTCCATGTCTGGTCCAAAGTCATATTTCTCCTTTGTTCTCTGTGAGGGTCTCCTGGTCACCCTCTGCGGCTGTGGAGTGGTGTGATAAACAAGCTGGCACAGGGGAAAGTGTCCGGGCCCAAAAAGCCTCTACATCAGTTCTGGGCTCGGGCTACGGCTCACTGCAGAGGGCTGGAGCCTTTTCAAATAGCACTGCACCAAGTCAATGAGCCCATCCCACTGCTAGGCCCTGTGGATGCAAAGTTAATCATAATCACATCAAAATGAGAAATTTTTAAATGTTTGCAATGAGACGTCAATTTGTTTAGACAATTAGTAGTAGGTAGTAGAAATCCTTTTGCAAGCAAGAAAATAGTACAATTGTTTATTAAGAATGATTCAGGATTATAGTATAGTATAGCATAGTATTTATCTCACATTGGGTGTTTTATTGTCAACAAAATCTTGAAAATCTGACCTGTAACTTGGCCTGGTATCAGTGGCGATAAATGAGTAATATTGCAGCTTTATAATGACATCTTCATGGGGAAAGCTGCGAACGAACCCTCCACCAGAAAAGTACACAGTGCAGCTTTAATTAATACCCAAATCTAAATCCCTAAGGCCTGAATCACTCTTAAAAGCCACAATATGTAAGTTTTATTTGACTTTGTGCATGTTTTTATAGCACTGACAAAGGTTTGCGTTCTTACTGTGAGCTGACTTGTATCTCCACAAACCTGACTCTTATTTGGCTTATCTCTTCTTATTCCCAAGGTTCCAAAGTACTGTTTTAGTTTTATTTCTGTGGAGTCAAAAAAGTTACATGCGATCACTTTAATAAATTCTGAATAAAGTATTGTGCATAATGATTTCATGCTTTTTGAAATATGTAAAGAGAATAGATCTTAACTCCATGGGGTCTTATTATTTCAAACCTTCTGGCAACCCCACCCATAATTTAGACCAATATAAAAAATGCCTTGGAGCCCTATTAGCTGTGACAAAGAGCAGGCCACTATAAGCTATATGATCCCTAACATAAACTATAGGTGCTTTTATAAAGAGCAGTGTGCTGGATGAGCTGAAAAACACAAGGTGAGTGTGACCTTTGATTGAGCTGACATCATCAAGTGGAAGCACTGGTCTGTGTCATGATAAATGTTTAATACAGAGGGACAAAGCAACTTAACCTATGAGCGATTTCCCCCACTGCAGCTACGTGTAAGCACCATGTCTGCAAAATTTACTGCCATTACAAAAAACGCAACTCAATGGTCTCGTTGTAAAGCAAGAACCATTTATGATACTGCAAAGATGTATTGCCAAGTTGAGCACAGAAATGGCACAATGTTTAATTTTTAATGTTGGTGTTATTGCAAAGAGAAATATGGTCACTTCATGTCTTTCATAATCATTGAAAACATAACAAACAACAGTACTATTCTTTATTTTTTCATATCCATTCTCTAATATCACCATTTCTCTAGTATCTGTCCAGCTTTGTGAAATTAACAGATACAAAACCATTTTCATTTTTGGAATATAGACTGAAATGAAATTACTTAATTGTGCTTTTAAAGTTGTTATAGCTGTTATTCTTTAGTTCTTACGATTATATAATGACTGGATTATTTAGCATGTGATATAGATTATAGATATATAGATGCCAACTTTATTTATAAAGCACTTTAAAACTTTTACAGCGGGCCAAATGCCGTACAAAAACAGTGAATAGACAAAGGTTATCACAATAAAAGTCACAATCCAACTATTAAAATATAGAAACCACAAGACATGAGTTACTGAAGTTAATTAACAAGAAGAGCTCTACATCTGATCTGTAAAAATCCAGTGCAAAAAGATGTGTTTTTAGGAGACTCACATCTTTAATAAACTAAAAACAAATAATTCAGTTCTATCCTTATTTACAGCCAATGACTTTCACTGATTATTTCTCACCAAAAAGTGTGCAGGGTGTTGCAGAAACTTTAATCTCTCTATTTCTGCTTAGTCATTGCCTGGGATCCAGAATACACTCTTCCTCAATACGTTACGACGATGTGAGTCTAGTTACTGGCAAATCTCCCTGTCGTCAGATGGACGTGCTTGACAGGTGGATGAACCAATCAGGGACACGCATGATGTGACTGTATAAAAACAAATATGTCATCTTAAGTGGAAAAAAGAAAGAAGAAAAATATCAGGGTCTGGAAAAACATAGCAGATGAACGAGGCACTAAACTCTGCT